CTTCACTCTCTCTCACTCTTCCTGCCGTCCTCCAGTCTATCGTAGACAGTTGACTTTATAGGTACTTACTACCTATAGTGTAATCATTAATGGGGGTGCCAGGTTATTTCAATGCATCAAATAGAAAAACATCGTAGATTTCAATAAGATAGAAAGAAATCTTATTCTATAATGTCATTTTATTCCTGAATTAATGTACTTAAACATGTATAGGAAGAAAATGATAGCTGCAGACACCGAGGTGCGAGTGTAACACACTGGTCTTATGAATTTGCTTTTCGTCAAGTGTATAAATGGCGGCTTCAGGCTACTTACCGTGTGGACTAAGGATTGTCTATTAGTCAGACTGCAGTTGCCTATTGGTTGATTACAACTTACTAGTTGATTATCGGTTGATTATTGAATGGTTATTGAGTGAATATTTGGACGTTAAGCAGAGCTGCGTTACTAAAAGGAATTCACTGAATTTTTTTTATTAAGCTTTTGACTGACTCTGACTTTTTTGTTTGTGTTACGTATTTATTTGCATTTTGTTATTAAATACTGTTTTATTTAACATTGAAGTCTTGAGTTGTACTTTGAAATTAACGGCCATCAATACGTGTCACAAAATAAATAAAAACAGAGCATCTACATGAATATGGACATCTATTAAAAATAAAACATAAAGAGACCAATGCATTTTATTTGACATATCTCACCACTTTTAGAGATAGTAATAATTGCTTATTAAACAATGGAAATCCATGTAAGTAACTCAGCTGACAAGAATTCTAAAATGTATTTTAGCATTAAACAACAAACTTCGGCAGATGTTACTTAAAACTCTCTGCTTCCTCAATAGAATATAAGAATGGTGTCATATTCCGACAATTCTCGTCGAAACTGTTATATTCCGTGCTAAGGAAATAAATAAGTAACACTAGGTGGATAATAGAAGAAAGGTTTATTGTACACAACCAGTACAATATGAAATACGGTACAGTTATACACACAGGTCACTCTAGTAGTGAGTGCCACTAATTGGAAGGTCGGCCGTGCTTGTGTCTTCTCTCTGACTCTCCCTTCCGTCCTCCAGTCTTTCTTTCTTTATAGGTACTTACTTTATAGTGTAATCATTCATGGGGGTGCCGAGTTATTCCATTACATTACATTAGCTGAATACAGAAGAAAAAGAATTTGATCTATACATACCAATGGTTATGTATGTTTCTTAAATTTTCTTAAAATGTTCTAAGCATGTTAAACCATCGGCGGTTTTTGTTATGGAACATCATATGTATCAAAATACTTTATTTAGAAACGAGAAATGTTTATATCAATTTTTTTTCTCTGGAGAAGAAATATATGTTTTCTTTTAAAAAGATATATTTTCTATGTTCAAATGAATCAATTAAAATTAGAAACAGTAGCATGAATTAATCACAGTGCTATTTGTGATAATATTATACGACATTTAAACTGCGTACGTTCAAACACAGAAGTTAAGCGTTGTCTAGCCTGGTCAGTGTCATGATGGGTGATGACCGAGGGAATACTATGTGTGGGTGGTGCAATGCATAATTGTTAATCAGAGAGCCGTGTTCCAGTTCTATTTCCCTTCATTATATTCACTTACGCGTAAATACCTTTGACCAAAGATTGAATCCAACTCATCACCCCCAGCTATGGGTTAATTAGTAATTAGTTAATTATTATCTTAAAAAAATTCTTACTTGATAAAACACATTAAATAACCTGCAAATGTTTGATAAGCCTTAGAAAATGAGTCAATCAATGAAACACTGATTTTCTACACAGGCACGTCTTTAGATTTATTTAAATTCCCTAGAATATGAAGAGGTAGAAATTACTGTGTTCACAAAGTGAGGGATCAGTTTTATATTGATCGCTATGTAAATTTGATCTCCCTTTTTATATCCACGTTATTATTTTCTCGTTTGTTTATCAAATCGTGATTAGGTATGAATTCACCACTTTTCCTCCTCAGCTATGGGTTAATTAGTAAGACTTGTATTACTCAATCATTATTATCTCAAAAAAGGATTTACAATGTGAGATATATTCTCTGGCTTTAAATAACCTGCAAAATGTTCAAAGCCGTAGAAAACAAGTCAATCAATCAATCAATCAATCAAATAATGATGAGGTACAAAGGGATGTCTTAGATTTATTTAAATTCTCTGGAATATGAATATATAGAAAATACTGTGGTCATAAAGTGGGGGATTAGTTTATATCTTGATTGCAATGTCAAACTGATCCGCTTTTTATATTTACGTTATAATTTCTTTGTTTATCAAATTCTGATTAGGTATGAATCCACCACTTCCCCCTAGCTATGGGTTAATTAGTAAAGCTTGTATCACTAAACCATTAATATCTAAAAAAAAGAAAAGACCGTCAATTTAAAATATGTTTTCTGGCTTTAAATAACCTGCAAGAGATTGATAAACTGTAGAAAACGAATCAATCAATATTTAAATTGTAGATTTTTTTTTTAAATTAAAAAATATCAACTTCCCCCACACACTTTCTAAGGCAGATGATCACATCTATGATTTTTTTTGTACAGAAAATGGTCGCTTACAGCGAAAAATTATATTGAAATTATATTAATTAATTAATTAATTTATTTTTGTTAGTGCAGCCCACATTATGATGAGCTATATCTCAGAAGGCCAACAGGTCGGAAAAGGTGACCCATGCCAGGTTGAAATGCTCACGAAACAGACGAAATTTATTTTCCACTTTTTTCCCCCACAACCTTTCCATTTATTTCAGTCTCGTCTTCCACCATTTTTTTATTCCGAAAACATTAATTTTTAATTAATTTTCGTGTCACCGCTTCTATTTTCACATGCGCAAACAATTAACGAATATTAAGATTCCCACTGCTGTAAACCTACTTATACTTCTATGCAACGAGGAAGTTAACTGCTGTCGACGTATATATACGTTTAATAACACAGTGAAAGTCCCTAGTATGTGTGCTATAAAATATCTGGTAGTGTTATATCCAAACCAGTTCGCAAAGAGTATATTAGTTGCTATTTACTGGTAATAAATGACTGTTAGAGAAGGTTAGGGTTGAACTTCGAAATATCTTGATGATCCTAACCCTAACTCTGCCTCTCAGTTGATCTCTTCTTTGAGTTATCTCCCAATTAGGTCAATAGGAGAAAGACTGACTTAAATCATTCAATACATCCAAAAACTAAAATTGTAATATTTCATCATCGTCGAGCAGACTCTAAACATTCACTGGTCCTAATGAACCGCCATGTCCCCAAATGAGGCTCACTTACCTCGAATGGCTTCTGGGTCTCAAACTCACACTCGATCTCAAATGGAAAATAAAGTATATTAGTGTTAAATTGATTTTCTAAGCCTAGCTCAGATGTGGTACAAGGCCGAAATGTGGGGCAGCCAGTGAGGTTCGAACTCTCTAATCATTTGTAATCGTTTTAGCGAGATAAGCTTGCTAACCATTACACCAAGTCGAGGTGACATGCATTAGTGTTATATAGGAATAAAGTGTCGCTGCCGACACTGGTGTTCGAGCACAGATCACCAGCGAGCAAACACAGGCGATCTCGTTTTGAACAAATTGATCACGTGATGGAAAAGTTAATATATATATGGGAATTAGCGTTGCGTCTAATGATTCCCTATACACTATTCAGATCATTAATCGGTGGCTACTATTCGAGCGAGTATTATTGATCAAGTACTGTTTGTGCGTGTGCTATTCGAAGGCGTCTGACACCAGTATTGTTCAACGGTGTTACTATCATTGTATCTGCGATTACAAAGTCTCTACTACAACGAGCATTACGAAAGTGACAACGAGTATTCGTTTGCATTACAGAAGTGGCAATGCGTGTTCGTTGGCATCACAAAAATTAGTAATGGTTTTTTTTTTGCTATTTACTGGAAATATATTACTGTTAAGAAGGTTAGAGTTGAACCTCCAAATAACTTGATGACACTAACCCTAACCCTGCCTGTCAACTGATCTATCCTCTGAGTTAACTGTCAATTAGGTCAATGGGGAAAAGACTGACTGATATCATTCAATACATCCAACACCTAAAATTGTAGAATTTCACCGTCGAGCAGACTCTAAGCCTTCACTGGTCATAATGAGTGGTCCTAACCCCAAAGTGGCTTTCTTGTCTCAAACGGCTACTGGGTCTGGAGCTCATTGTCTATCTCAAATGGAGTAATCTCGATGAGTGGTCATGCCCTCAATGAGGCTCCGTGCTTCATAGAAGTCCTTTGGGGATAAAGTGGCTGCAGACCTCAAATGGAACGCGTATATTCGGTGTTATCACAAAAGAATCTGGGAGAATGGCCGGTTCCTTGTATAGCCCCAGAAAATACTAAACTCGCTCTGCTATGTTTTTATAAGTGTCAGGTTATAGCAAGAAGTATTGCTGCCATATCTGGGCTGGAGCTGCACAATTTTCACTATCCAACATTCAAAAGTGCTTACTTAGGAAATAATTTATGAGGTGCACCCAGGTCCAAACGTGTCCTCGTGATTACCGGTTGGTAAAATCGTTGATCAACCCGAGATATGGTTTCTTTATAGTTTGTTATAAAATAGAATATATTAGCTTAGTTTTTATTGTAGAATATCTGTCGAAACCAAAAAGAGACATCCACATAAATGTCTTTATAATTGTTTTGATTCCACTAAATGGCAGTTTCTAAATTTCCCCAAAACGGGCAAGTACAGCCAAGCATCAATGCTAAAACAATATGGTAGTTAAGGTGTTAATGTCGGATGCTTGGCAAGCAACATATAGATTTAACATCTCGTTGTCTTCTCATTTTAACGAGAAGACAACTATAATTTTTTTTTTCATTTCCTTAACTTTTTTTACTTTTTAGCGCTACCGTTTTTGTACAAGTCTTCATTTTAGGATTATTTTTGACAACACGTATGGCAGATCCATTATTCTTGTACGTTTTTTTTTTACCTATAAGAAGTGATGTATTTCAGTTTCTTAAACCGGGAAAATGTGGTTTTCGAGTTGATTTTCCTACAGCATTTCCGATCTCTTACGTTAAAAGCAAAAGTTAGAAATATTCTTTGTAAGGAGGTAGACGTTATATAGTCTAAATTATGGATCGATATATATATATATATATATATATATATATATATATATATATATACACACACATATATCTATATGAGTAAATTCATATATATATATATATATACACACACACATATATATATATATATGAGTAAATTCAAATATATATATATATATATGTATACATAAATATATATATATATATGAGTAAATTTATATATATATATATATATATAAGAATCTGAAAGAGAGTTAAATATATATGTCAATTTATTTTCACTTTACGCTCAATATCAGGAATAGAAAGTTTATATATATATATATATATATATATATATATATATACACACATACACACGCATATCTCTCTCTCTCTCTCTCTCTCTATATATATATATATATATATATATATGTGTGTGTGTGTATGTATATATATATATTGTGTTTAATTTGGCAATATATATTCATGGAGATATGTTTAATTGAGTATTTAGACAAGTTTTTCTGTTTATTTTATTAAAGGAAGAGAGAAAATTACTGTGTTGATGCATATTATTTTATTCCGATTACTTTCGACATTAGCACAAAGTCATCATCATCAGGGTTTATTGCAGTATTCATCATTTTCAAAGATAAAATTGCTGTACTCATCTGAAAGTTATTATTCTTTTTTACTCTTGAAGTGAAGAACTCCGAGTCGTGTGCTGTGTGATTGGCTTCAACAACGCTCCTAGCCAATATCACTAAGAAGGCTTCGGTCAAGTTTGGTTTTCAGGCACTTTCCAAAGGTGCCGTACGCTGGGATCAATCCCTCCAGTCCGATAAAAATAGAAAGTCTCTTTCCTGACAAATCGACCATGGCAAGATTTCCAGCTGGGTTTCATGATCAGAATGCGAACGTCCTGACCATGAGGCCACCCCCCTATATATATATATATATATATATATATATATATATATATATATATATATATATATATATATAAGCAAATATATGGATATAGATCCGACAGTATGAAGAAAAACATATACGGAAAAACAAACAAAAATCCTTATATACAATTATACTGTTTTTTAATGTTAATATGTCAACGTCGGACGTTTCGGTCTAATAAACCATCTTCAGGATATATTCATCATATTTTGTCATGTTGTATTGATAATGTTGTAATTTATGAATATGTCCTGAAGATGGTTTATTAGACCGAAACGTCCGACGTTGACATATTAACATTAAAACAGTATAAATTGTATATAAGGATTTTTGTTTGTTTTTTCCGTATATATTTTTTCTTTCATATATATATATATATATATACACACACACACACACACACACACACACACACACACACATATATATATATATATATATATATATATATATATATATATAAACAAACAAACAAGTAATAGGAATTTTCTAATCCCTCAAAATCTCTATCACATGTATACCCTTTCATTAGTTGTCTTACGGCCATTGTCTGCGATGGATGCTATTTCAAGGAGCTGTACGAAACTCTGACTAGCCTTACCAGGGAGCAAAACAAAGTACTATAGACTGGTACAAGGAAACTCTTCTGTTTTAAATCCAATCGAGAATCCGTGGTCAATCTGCAAAGAACGACTTTGTGGAATGGACATACGAAGTACTAACATGTCTACTGGGTCATGTTTCACTGGAGAAATACGAAATAAAGTAAAAAACGTAACGGAATTATTCGTTTTGCAATTAATTTGCACAAGGGTGTATACTGAAACAGTAGATTTCTATCTATCTATCTATCTATCTATCTATCTATCTATCTATCTATCTATGTCAGTCTGTTCATATCTATCTATCTATGTCAGTGTGACCTCGCCCCCTGGTCGCCAACTGTGACGTTCTATTCTGGTCTACCACGGCACCAGTTGTGACGTCCCTAAACAGCACCAATTGTGACGTCCTCGTCGCGGCGCCAGCCGTTCGCTTCTCGCTGCTCCGTTCGGGTGTCGCTGCTCCAAACGTGACGTCCGCCTGTCGCGTCAGTCGTGTTGTCTCGTCCTGTGACGACCAACTGGCTTGGTATCGGTCGCGGCACCCAAATGTGACGTTCTAAACTTTTGGTGATTCGGGTGGGAATATGGTTAGATTTGATATAAGCCTCGTCGTTCCCAACTCGCTTCCAACGCCTGGTTACCAAGGTAACTGCATTGATCTCCAGTCTGCCTACCCACGTTGTGAATCGATCTTAGGCAGACGAGATCAAACAGTGGTTGGGGCCGTAATGCAAACCGAGTTCAACGGGGGTGATACCACACAAATATGCATAAAAGAAAATAAAATGAAAACTCAAAAAGTTCAAAGTATCAAAGAAAAAGGTAATAAACTTTATGTCTAGTTGTTCGATACATAGGACTGCATCTATCTCCCGACCCGTTCTATGGATTGTGACACGTCGTTTTCCGTTAGGCGAGTTTTAACGCGAGAAGTTGTTTGCTCTCTAAGAAATTGGTTTTTCGGTGTGTCTTCGGACGAAAGTCGAAAAAAAAACTTATTTCGGTGGTCTGGATCTAAGTCGCTCTTCAAAATAATTGTTCTTGTGTTGAAGAGGAGTCCGGAATTTGCGTGAATTTTGGTCAGCTATCTGCGAGGCGGCTTCAACTGGAGACTGACTCTTCGCTGCAACTCCAACTCAAACTGAAATTGGAACTGGAACTCACTGGAACTGATTTCTGCTCGTTGTGGCTTCGCTTATATGGACGCCGACCAAAACCGGGGTGGGTCTGTCGGCGTCGGTGTTTCCTCGATAATTCTAAATACATATCCACCACTCTGGTTATGAATTTCCATTTTTTTTCATTTTTGGGAACCTTTCCTCACTCCCACCTTCTCACCATACTTCAGAGGGCGTGAACTTCCCTCCCCACTTCTTCGTAGCAGCTTCTCATACCTACACTCTGGATGGGCGGCGACAGCGTCCTTCGTGCGTCACGTGATCACCACTTGACCAATGATGTCTTAGTCGGGCGTGGACGAATCCGCGGATTTGTTTCGGAAAAAAAAAATATCTTGCTTAACTAAAAAAATTATCTTTCCTCCTCCTTCGTGCGTCACGTGATCACCACTTGACCAATGATGTCTTAGTCAGGCGTGGACGAATCCGCGGCTTTGTTTCAGGAAGAAAAAAAAATATCTTGCTTAACTAAAAAAAATTATCTCTTCTCTTTTCCTTTTCTTCCTTTTAATCGCCGTTATCATTTCTCTAGCCGCAAACGGGACAATATGAACAATGGCGGTCATAACTCTTGTTCTACACGTGGTTTTCGTCAGGTATTTTTTCGCTAATTATCTGAATGGGTGGCCTTCTTAACACGGCCAACCGTCGCCCCGAAAAGACATTTCTAAATTCCCATTCATTTCCCTTCGGTACATATTTCTGATAACATAATTTTATTATCGCAGGCCAAGGATGTTCCGTCGAAGGAAATCGGTCAGCGGACACTCGTGGGTGGCTTTTAATTTTTCATATCTGTCCAAAGTCCTTTAATTGCCTGTTTTTCGTCACTTATCGAAATAACATTTTCATTTGAATTTTTCTTTGGCCAGTCGGTCTGTAGTTGATAATAAGATGCCTTCCCGTACCAATAGTTTGTTTTCATATTCTTAGATAACACAGCCGTCGCCAAAACATTCTTTCTTTCTTTCCCTTTCTTTTTACTCAGAATTTCCCTGTCATTGTAATAACACCCTTTCGCCATTTGTTACTTATCAAAATATCCCTTATCCATTGTCTCTTAGCCGTGTGTGTGTTCCGCTTATCATCCACGATTCGGTCCTTAGCCTCTCCTTTTCTTCTTTTCTTTCTTTTCTTTTTCTGCCTCGTTAAATGGTGCCACAATCCTCCACTAACCGATTTGTCATTTACCCGTAAATGACACCTAAACCCAAATACACCCTTTAACATGCATCATGCATTTGTCCCATGCAATTCTATACTACTTTTCTACATGCAATGTAATGTTCTTTTTCAACTTCTTTTGTTCTACATCCAATGTAATGTTCTTTTCATCTTCTTCTGTTCTACATGCAAATGTAATGTTCTCTTTCAAGTTCTTCTATTCTATATGTAATGTAATGTGTGCATGTGCCTGTGGGTGCAGATGTGGTTACTATGGCTTGTCCTTCTTGGTCAGTGTTTTCCTCTCCGCTGTGGGAGGTTTTTCCGCCGCACGTGGCGGTCTCACGCCAGCCTCCTCCGCTGGTCTTCCTGCAATCTCTTCGCCGATTCTGTATGAGTAAGGAACACTGCTCCGCATCTCCCTCTCGAGTTGCTGCATGCACATTGGATTTTCGTTCGTTAATCTCCTCTTACTCTTAATCTTCCATATTACTATACCCCCGATGGCTATAACTATGAATGTACCCATCACTATTGACCAACTTATCGCGATCTGCTCATCGTCCTCCCAAGCCATACCTTCATTTCCCAACGCACTTGTCCCTCAATTGATCCATATCGATCTTTTCTATCGGCTTCATTAGTACTGGCATTTTATTCAAGGTAACATTGGAGAATCCCTTCACTATTGGCTCCCACAATTCTATACAATTGACTAAACCTCTGCCAATCATTTCTATGATTGAATCTTTCTCTTCATATCTTTCTTCTTCCTGGTAATAGGGGGGTAAGGAAACAGATATCCCAAATGCCGAACATCCCATGGGTAACTTTAACAGGGATAATGGTGGCCTTACTCTTAATGTCCTTGTGGACACTCCCCCACATACCCTAGACAAGCTGATAGGTTTCTGTGTGGCTACTGCCCACACCCCGTCTGAAACACTGATAGCTTGTGGTAATGCCGTGTTTGCTAATACCTCCACTTAGCAGGTTCTCTTAATTCCTTCTCTCTCCCCTTTAAATAATTCTAGTATGCACATTTTGCGGTTACCAGTTTTATAGATAGGGCTTAACGAGGTACAAGTCCCTAGAGCACCATCTCTACACTTTTTAGCTTCTTCAGCTGTTAGCAACATGAATTTCGTTCTCCCCGAATTTAAAGCTATGCATTCTGTTTCCAGCTTGTACTCTGCTATAATTCCCAAACCTTGATCTCTTCTGGGGTAGGGAATGGGTAAATTTATAACCTGGTATAGCTCGAATATACTCTCTCTATCTAACAACGGAACAGATATCACAACCAATAGTCGTCTATTTTCCAACAAGGTCACACATCCCAGTGCATTATAATATTTCCACAATTCTTTGGTGGGGTCCACTGGCAGCCTTAAATGGTGGGGTAACTCGGCCTGTATTCCGAGTAGCGCTTCCCTTAGGTGACCCGGGTTTACTATGCTTGGGGAGAGGTGTCCCAATGACGGCATGTCTAATTGCGCTCTCACATGTTCCAGCAAGGTCGTCAACGACTGACTAGTTTGTCGTACCTTATTCGTAATTGTCATCAGTTGGAAATATTTTTGCATGAATCCGCTCATTTCCTGTAATTCGATCATTACAGTTTCTGTATCATTCATTACCTCTTGTCTCAACCCTGCTAGGTTATCTATTAACCAATTGATTCTGGCTCTATTTTTGGCCACTTCTAACCTTGTCACATTTAATATTGTCACACTCTCCCTTGCCACCTGAGCAAGCGTCCTCTGGTTTACTTCCACTTCTCCCAGTTTCCTTCTTACGAATTTAACGTCATCTTCAGTCACTGTTCCAAACAGGACATTTAACGCTTTTCCCCCAATCGGAACTACTGATCTCTTTTCCCGCGTCTGCAGTAACTTCAGGTAATTTTGCATGTCCCTCCATTGAGCCTCTATCATAGTGGCCTCTGATTCTAGGGAGTGTAATAAAGATACCCTTTTTCCTTGGGATAATCTTGTCCTACCTTCAACTGGGCTGCATCCAGCTGCGTTAGCTCATTTCTTAACTTATTTAGTAGCGACTCGTATGGTTTCAAATCTATCACGAATGTGATCAACCATTTAGACCTGGTTATTATTACTTCACTCGTCTTTTTAAAAATGGTGTTTCGGCTGTGCTTCCCAGCTTCCGCCATCGTCACCATCAGTGTGGCTACCATCATCATCATCACCCCTTTCATCTTGATCATTCATGCAAGGTAACAAAATTTCTCTTGTTGTTATTCTTCACAACCATTCAGTCTTGCTCAATTCATTACTCAATTATTCCATAATTTCTTACTTCAGCTCTTCCCTCCTCTAACTCCTAGGAGACGGAATGGTCCGGACAGGTGTGCGTGGCGCTCACTCCAAGGGTCGTACTTCATGACACCACTGATGGCCAGTAAGCAATGCCAATAATCTTCTTCCGTCCTTCGTGGGGTGCAGCTCGCGACTCCATCCCCTCCATCCACATCCACCGCAGTCAGCCAGCAGGTTTTTGGATGAGCCAGTGTCGTTATCTGTCGACACCGAATGTTTCTATTCTGCACAGCCTTCTTTGTTCTACTGAGATTTGGGGTTCTTCACCCTTCTTGATCACATCTTCCGAGGTGGTCCCTGCTCAACCTCTAACCTTCCCTCTGTGTTTAATTCCCATCCAGGAGGTGTTTTGTCCTCTTCTTCATCCCCTGATTCTTCCTTCTGTTTAGAGTCCTCGCCCTGGACGTCTTTAATACCTCTTGAGTCTATGTCTAGAAATCTCTCCTGTTCCTTAGCTTTTCCTTGAGCTGGGGAAGGGGTATTTGATCCTCTTCCTCCCACTCGTTGGGCCCTTCGTCCTGTTCAGGGTGCCTCTTTTTAGAGCCCTCGACTGCTTGATTGGATCTCCTCGTCTTTCTCTTCCTTTTCTTTGGACATGGGGGTACGATGGCGACATCACAGGGTCT